CCCAGCAGCTCCCTTACCCTCAGGTGGCGTCACAGGTGTCCCCTGTCCCAGTGTCCAGTGTGTGGCTGAGGAGCTGCCTGCATATAGTCCCAGAGTCTCCAGGCAACTCCAAGACGGATCTCGAAGAATCCTGGCTGGGTGTCAGGCTGGGCTGGTCCTGGGAGGAGCTGGACTGGGGGTGGGATATGCAGGGGAGGGGCAGCACCTGGGTGTCCAGGGACTATGCAGGGAAGGAACAGAGGCTGGCCAGTCCGCTCACAGGGCCCCAGGCGCTGTTGGGCTGGTGCCCTAGAGCCCTCAGGGACTGGGCTGTGGAGGCGCCTGAGTGCTGAGCTCTTTGCAGATGTCTGTGAATGTTGGGGCTCCCTGGGCAGCCATTGTGGGCCTTGGTGGCAGTGCGGGCCGAGTCCACCAGTGTGGCCCTGGGCACAGGTGGCCTCTCCTTGTGCACAGGCCCCTGCACTGCCACAGCCTCTCCCAGCCTGCACCACTGCACTCTGTGTACTGTGTAGTTCCAGAAGGGCCTTGTGAAGGGTGAGAAGGCCGGCTCCCAGGGCAGGACGTGGTGCTGGGCTGCAGGGACTTGGAGTTGCTCAGCACTCCCATGGGTCTGTGGGTGCCCAGGGTGCTCTCCTGGCTCTGCTGCTCAGCACCGCGGCTTGCACTGGGGTGGAACAGCCAAGCTCGAATAACCTGGGCTGCTCTGGTTGGCAGCAGTGACCAGGACAGAGTTCACGGCTGGATGACCTAGTTGTCCAAGAGGCTCACAGTGGCAGGAATGGGGGTGGGACTGTGGTGTTTCAGGTAGAGACCCAGAGCAAGGAGGTCTAGCCCCAAGAAGGACAGTAGGACCCACACTGGTCTGAGGAGACAACTGTCAAGGTCACCAGCCAGGGAAGAGTTGGGTGGGGAGAGCACACAGCATGTGGGAGGTTCAGCCCCATGGTTTCTTTACTCCTGGGCTTATCCACGACCCCAGGCAGCCTGGACCAATTGTTTCCGGGTGCTGGGAAAGGCAAGCCTCAAGCTGGGTGTTCCCTGGAGACCCCAGCAACGCCCCCCCCAGCACCTAAGGGGTGAAGGGATAGCCCATAGACTGGAAGTCACCTGAGCTTCCCACTGGCCCTGTTTGTTTCCCTGGAGCTCTTGTCTCTCCCATTCCCTGTTACAGGGGGACACTCTGGTTCCAGGGTCCTCAAGCTCCCCAAGTGAGGCAACTTACAGGTGGGGTTGGCTCTTCCTTCCCAGTGCAGCGGCCTCCAGCTGAGCTCATGGAAGCACTCGTGCCCTTGGAGGAGGTGGACACTGAGGCTAAGGCCCAGGCCAACACACAAAGTATCCCCAGAGGCAAGGAAAAGGGCAGATCCAGAGGGCAGGGGACAAAGGCACACAGGGCAGTGCCGCAAGGGGTGGGGGTGGGGGTGAAGGAAGAGGCGTCTTGGGGAGTCCCAGATAGGACACCTCGTGACTCTGGATCTCAGCAGATCCTGGCCTGCAACACCTTCCCCCACCCCTGGGGATGCCATAAACAAAAAGCAGGAGACATGCTGCTCTGTTCTCCTGGGGAGGGAGAAAGGCAGAGTGGACCCAGAAGGAGGGGATGCGGGGGGAGGGTGGCACAGGAGGTGGGGCTGGCAGGAGGCTATGGCATCATCGTGTCGGCCCAACCCCTGCTGTGTCTGACGTCTCCCTCTCTTTGTGCATGACCTGCACCTGTCACCTGCTGGAATGGAGAGTGCTGGGTGCAGAAATTTCACTGCTGGTGGGGCCACCTGCTGGCCAACGGGAGTGGCCGTAAGCACAGTGAGGTTTGTTTGCTGGGAGTTGGTTTGGCAGTGGAGCAGCAGGGGCTCGATTGGTGCCTAGAAGGATAACCATAGTCCTGGCAGAGGCTGAACCCCAATAGGTCACCACGCCACTCCCACACTGAACTCTTTGGATGTCTCGGCTATCTTCCTACCTCTTGTTCTTACCCAATGAGCGTGTCATGGAAGAAAGAGGGTCTCTACATTTGGCCCATGTGTTCATTTGCATTTTGATATTTTCAATATCTGAGAGGAGATTCTTGGGAAAGAAAAGGCTAATTTCAGCCTACAATCTTGGTGGGGGGGGGTCATAGTTCACCTGGGCAGGTGTTGGTCGTGGTAGATGAGGAAGGATGATCATAAGAAAGATATAGGAAGCAGAGAGAAGACAGAGATGGAGATGCAGAAGACAGAGACAGAGGTAGAGATGGACATAGGGAGATTGATATAGACAAGCAAAGCAGAATTTGAACTCCAATTCTAATGAGCCCTCCCATGAGAACTGTCCCCCCAGGACAAACCCCCAGGGAGGTACAGACCTCCCCAGCCCCATCACACACCAGGGTTTCGTGCCTAGCCCATCTGTCAGTCACACAAAGGCATCAGATTTAACTGTCAGGAGCTTCACGGAGGCAAGTCCTCCTCAACCCCGTAACAGGGATAGTGACATCAGACTTGTCATTTATCCAAGGATACCCAAGAAGACTGAGTAAGTAAAACCAAGTTCCTGTTCACCCTGCCCTCCGCTAACACACAGCCCAGCCTCACACTCTTCATTTTTTAAAGTATTCCTTTATTTTAAAGACAGAGGGAGATACACACAGAGAGATGTGTCATCTACCCATTCACTCCCCCAAAAGGCAACAACAGCTGGGGCTGGATCAAGCTGATGCCAGGAGCCAGCAACTTCTTTCAGGTCTCCCATGTAGGTACAGAGGCCCAAGCTCTTGAGCCATCTTCTGTTGCTACCCCAACCCTGTTATCAGGGAGCTGCATGCATGTGGAGCATCTGGGACTCCAACCAGCGCCCATGCGGAATGCTAGCATTGCAGGCAACAGATTAATGTGTTGTGCCACAGCAAAGGTCCCAGGTACAGTGTGACCGCTCTGCAGGGACACACCTGAATCTCTACCTCATGCCTCGCCCCAGCAGCAGGTTCTAGTTCACAGAGACCAGCAGTGGCTGCCCTAGCCTCTCAGCCAAATCCTTGGCTGCCCATGCCCCTTCTAGGCATGCTTTTGCAATGCCTAGAAGGGGCCTGGTCGACTCTACTTCTGTTCTCAAGTAGTTCAGCAGAGTTGACCTTCACCAACACCCATGGAGTGGCCTCTGGCCTATCGGGCAGGACTCCCCTGAGCATGCTCGAGTCCCACAGTTGCAGTGCCTGGGTCTGAGACGCATCCCCACCTCCCGACTCCAGCATCCACTCAATGCACATCCTAGAAGGCAGAGGTGAGAGCCCATGTCACTGAATCTCTGGCATCCACACAAAGGACAGGATTGAGTTTCCAGCTCACGATTTCAGCCCTGGCCCAGGCCTCTGTTCAGTTGCCAGTTGGCATCCTGGCATTACATATCCCAGTCCTGGCTCCTGGGCAGGTAGGTGACTGTTAATAGTGCAAGTGATATCCTGCCACCCATGAGGGAGGGTAGGGATGTAATTCCTGGCTCCTGGCTTGGGTCTTCCCCACACATCTGGAGTGAATGACTAGATCAAAGGGCTCTCTCTCCTGGCGCTTGATGGTTACCCTGGTAACTGGAGAAGGGCTAAGCTTGCTCCAGAGCCCACTGTCAGGCTGCAGCAGGGAAGCACGGAATTCTGGCAGGCCCCAGAGGCAGCGGAATCACCGCGAAGGATTGAAGCCACCCCCTCTTCAGCTACCATGTCAGGGGGAGTTTAAAAGCCCTTTGCACCTCTCTTCCTGGCTCTTCTTCCTCTGTATCCCATGCCTTCATATTTCTCTTTCTGATACACGGGGAAGGGAAGCCCTTGACCGTGGTTAGCTGGAATAGAGGCCATCTAAATTAGTTTTCTTTTCCTGGTGATCGGCGCATCTTACAGCACTCTGTCACCCTCTGCCTCTCATATGCACAAATAAATACATGTCAAAAATAAACTTATATGTAACCATAAAACCCTTATCATAGGAAACATAACTTGTAGTTCTATAATATTAGCAAAGTTCTTGGGTTACAGTATCAAAAGCAGTAAAGTGTTCCCACACACTTAAGGGCAGTTAGTAAGTGTTATTTATCTGACGGGGGCACATATAGCATAATTACAGACAAGTTTGTCTCCAAAGCAGGGCCTGGTCTGACTCCCCAGACCCAGTACCCTTGTGGGTTCTGAGGGAGTCTCCCCGCCAAACCTGCTACTTTCAGAGAAAGCTCCTAACCTAACATGCGTTCCCTACCCCTTCACCTCTGACCCCGCCACTTTCTAATCAACCTCACAAGATCAGGTGAGGCTGTTGGCCTCCAGGGTCAGTTCTACTTCCTCTACCAGGTTCCCCCAGCTCCACAAAGAAGTCCCACCACATCCCCAGAGAGGGCCCCAGGAACCCCAAACTCCAGTGCTTATCACAGCGCCCCCTTGACCTTGGTGCCTCTAACCCAACGGAAGAACTGAGAGAGGCTTACAGGACAGTGACCCTGACAGTCACAATGACTTTGATGACACAGACCTTGTGCTGACCCTGACAGGTGCAGGAGCGAGAGATTAATGTTAAAGAACCTGCCAAAAAAATCCTTGGAGTGTGAGGGGGTTTCCCAGTTGGGATATGGTCCTACCATTATCTCATTAAGGGAGGCCTTCATTCTGCATCTGCTTTCATGGATGTCCAGAGCAGCCTGGGAGGTTGAGCTGAGTGCTGGACTTGCAGGAACAAGAAATGCTGGGAAGAGTCTGTCTTGCACCCAGGCAGTCCACTAGTCTCAGGAACTCCCGTAAGAGGGACAGGTGCAGGAGCAAGCCTGTACTGAGCTCTGTGTGCTCTGGGTCTGGGTTCCTCCCTTCCCTGCCTCTTGCAGGGCCCTGACCAGGCTCAGCTCCTGCCCCGTGGGTCCCCATCACCTTCACTGCACCTCCTCCATCCTGCTCACCTTTTGATGATGAATACCCCACCCACAGCTCCCCTCCCCAATCCATACAACCCTTGGGGGTGTCTGGCTAAGCAGATGCTTTCCTTCACAGAGGGAGAGGGAGAGGCTTGTCCCAGGTCCTGTGGTAGAGTCCTTTCTCCCTGGTGGGAGAATCAGGGTCCTGAGCCCCAATCCTAGGTACAACTCTGCAGCACGACTGGACAGGACAGGACTGGATGGGAGGGTTGGGCAGGGTGCAGTGCCTGGTCTCATGCTCACTTCCACCACAGCCTTTATTGGAGGGCAGAGGAGGGCAGCAGGGAAAGGTGAGGCCAGGTCTAGCAGAGGATGAGGCGGGTGGAGGCAGGGATACCACAGCTTTCCTTGTGCTCCTCAAACAGTCGCTCCAGGGCCTCCATGTAGAGCCTGTGGTAGTGGTCAACCTGCTCCTCAGTGGGTGCACTGAGCTGGGGCACAGGGATGGGGGCGCCCACTGCAAAGGAGGAAAACACAGGTGAGTCAGAGGCTGCCATTGCAAGCACTGTGCCCATGGCTGCTCCCTCCAGTGCAGGTGAGCACTCACCGACGGTGGTGATGGGCCTGGCCAGGGGCAGCAGACCCCAGGAGTTGGATGAGAAGAGATTGCGGCCCCAGAAGATGCAGGGAGATATTCTAGTGAATTTCTTGAAGGTGACCTGACACAGGTACTGCCAGGAGTTTTTGGGAAACGTCTTAGTTTTGAAAGTGTCATTCTCCCCAAAGGAGTACACAGGCACCAGGGATGCCCTGCAGAGACAAATGCCATAGTCAGGTCCTGGACTGACCCCCATAATGGGCACTGGGGTTGGGGGCACTGCACATCCCTCCCCCAGCTCAACTGATACCACAACTGATCCCAGGCCTTTGGGAATGCACAATTATGTCTGCATAGAATGTTCTGGAAGGAAGTCTTATTTGTGTTGAGAAAGACCTGTGCAGTGGCCTCTCCACAGGTGCCTTCACACTCAGTGTTTGCACCTGCAGCCTTGGGGCAAGGCAGACCCAACCTTGTGAAGAGTGAAAGGTCAGGCCCCAGGGCTGACCTTTGTGTGGGCTTGGGAAGAGAACCCAGGACTGCTAGGACAGGGCCTGTGTCAGTTTGGGCCCCACCTCCCCACAGGGAAGGGCTGACAGGTGCAGCCAGGTGCAGGAGGCATAGTGCTCCCCCGCAAGGACATGGATGGCTGGATTAAGAGGGATGGCCCAGCCTGGGGAGCTGTGTCCCACTCACCCATGCCTTAGCGCCAGTCGAACGAAGCCTTTGCGATTCTGGAGTTCGAGGCAGTTTTGCCCTGGGGCTGCATACAGAGCCTCTTGCGCACCCCCAGGCACGATGACCACTGCCAGGCCAAGCTGGTCCTGAGACAGGATGAAGTCCAGGCTGGCACGGCTCACAGGTCGCAGTCCTGTGTCATAAGCAGAGAGCAGGGGTGCAGTCAGTACTGTCTTAGCTCCCTGTTTCCTCACTGCACCCTGTAGCAGGGGAAGAGGGGTCCCAGGTCTCAGTCCTCATCTGCCCATTGCAAAGCCAGTTTATTGCTCAGGATGATTCAGTATCCTCAATAGGGGTCGTGATGCGGGTTGGGTACACTTTGACCAAGGGCTGTTTCCTCCCATTCAGTTGAGGCTCACCTAGAAGTATAATAAATTCCCGGAACCCTGGAATGTAGAAGAAACCATTCATCATGGCTATCCAGGGCTGAATCCCTGGGAAGCGTTGGGAGAAGTTGTTGCTTTCAGTGAGGAAATTACAGAAGAGTCCAGTGCACGTGATCCCATGGGGATGGGCCCCTAGCACGTAGTTCTGATTGGGGGACAGTTCTGCCGTCTTCACCAGCTTGACACGGTTGAGCAGAAGGAGAGGAGGGAGGCATAGAGGACAGGTCACTGCTGGAGCTGCTGCCCTGTGCCCCTGCAGACCTCAGAGCTTGGTCTACCCCTCCACCCCCTGCCCCTCTGTGTCCTTAGGCAGCAGGGTTTAAGCTGCAGGATAGGGAAGGGTGAGCAGGGGCAATGGCAGGGCATCGGGAGGGAGAAATTTGGAAGAGTTCCTGGGAAGGGTGACCCATCACCTTGATAGGAAAATAATCTCTTTGATGTTTCCATATCCGCCAGGTCCTTAACCACTCCCACCGTCTTCCCCCTGCGGGCAGAGATCTGGGTGGCTGAATGCCTGAGGCAGCCTCCCCATCTCTCCCACCTGGAGTACTGCCTGAGCTCACCTCGGCTGGGGGTGTCCCGGTCCAGGTAGAGCCACATCAAGTAGAGAACAGTTAGGGACCAGAGCCGCGTGAAGAGGAGGTAGATGAGAAGGATGGACCAAGGGCCTACGTGGAAGTGAGAAAGAAGAGTGGGTTTTCTAGGATTTTCAGCCTAGCCAGTCCTGGCTCCCACCTGCAGGGCATGTTGGAGCAGGGCATCTCCTTGGGTGCTGCCCCAGCTCCCCTTTGCCCAGGAGTCCCCTGCACTCGATTTTCTTGGCATTCTTGCCTGCTCTCTCACCTAAGAACAACACAGCCAGCACATAGTAGGCAGAGACCAGGGCTTCTAGCCACTGCTTCCGCAGGGTTTTCATTGGATGAGAGGGAGGTAGAGCTGGGGGGGAATCCATCCCAGCAGCTCCCTTACCCTCAGGTGGCGTCACAGGTGTCCCCTGTCCCAGTGTCCAGTGTGTGGCTGAGGAGCTGCCTGCATATAGTCCCAGAGTCTCCAGGCAACTCCAAGACGGATCTCGAAGAATCCTGGCTGGGTGTCAGGCTGGGCTGGTCCTGGGAGGAGCTGGACTGGGGGTGGGATATGCAGGGGAGGGGCAGCACCTGGGTGTCCAGGGACTATGCAGGGAGGGAACAGAGGCTGGCCAGTCCGCTCACAGGGCCCCAGGCGCTGTTGGGCTGGTGCCCTAGAGCCCTCAGGGACTGGGCTATGGAGGCGCCTGAGTGCTGAGCTCTTTGCAGATGTCTGTGAATGTTGGGGCTCCCTGGGCAGCCATTGTGGGCCTTGGTGGCAGTGCGGGCCGAGTCCACCAGTGTGGCCCTGGGCACAGGTGGCCTCTCCTTGTGCACAGGCCCCTGCACTGCCACAGCCTCTCCCAGCCTGCACCACTGCACTCTGTGTACTGTGTAGTTCCAGAAGGGCCTTGTGAAGGGTGAGAAGGCCGGCTCCCAGGGCAGGACGTGGTGCTGGGCTGCAGGGACTTGGAGTTGCTCAGCACTCCCATGGGTCTGTGGGTGCCCAGGGTGCTCTCCTGGCTCTGCTGCTCAGCACCGCGGCTTGCACTGGGGTGGAACAGCCAAGCTCGAATGACCTGGGCTGCTCTGGCTGGCAGCAGTGACCAGGACACAGTCAGGGCTCGGGTAATAAGGGGGAGGTGTCCCGTCCAACAGGACAGTCAACGGGGGTCGCAACCACCTAGGAGAGATTGGGGGACAAGAGACACAAAGAGTGGACAGCAAGACAGGATGTCTGATCAAGCTGTCAGTTTATTGATTTTAGTTGAGGGTTTTTATATTCTTCAGTAACTAAGGCTCAGGGAGGAAAGGAGAAACTAGGACGCAAGCCATGGTCTCCAGACCAATTGTTCCTGAGCAGCCACCATATCCACAATAGTAACCAGCATATCAACAATATCATAGGTAATCAGTAACAAGATGTCGGCAGGTACAGCATAAATCACATTCTAAAACAGTTGCTAGAAACAATTGAAGCTAAGCGTGTGATTAGTTTCACAACTTCTTTCCCAAGCATCTAGCCAGCCGGGGATTTTCCACTGGCCCATAGTTCTATATTCAAAATGGCTTCAGTGTGGCTATAGTACACGGCTCCTGACAGGGAGGGAGACTGAGCAGAAGATATCAGTTGAGAGAAGTGGGTCTAGGGTTGGAGGCTCAACTCTTACACAGCTCGGAGCTTGGAAACACCCCACCCTGGGCAAATTGTGGCCCAGGGACTCACCGAGGGTCTGTTGTTGGGTGGCCCTCTAGGGCAGCAGGAAGCCTTGGGGCATTGCCTCAGTGGCTGGAGCCCCAAATTGTGGGAACTTGGGGGCAGAGCAGCTGGAACCAGTGAAGCCTTGCCCTTGGCCTCGCTGCTCCTCACCCTGCTATGTCGGTGCTTGGGACCCTGGGGCTGGACAGCAGAGAGATAAACCTGGCCTTGGCATAGGAGAGCAGACCTCTGAGACTCCTATCTGGGCATGGGGAGATGAGAGGGGAAGTCCCTGCCCCATAGATAGGAAGATGGAGACAGAGAGATGATGGTATTGAAGCTCGGCAGAACCAAGTTAAAGGGCTTTGAGATAGGATCTGAACTAGAGACTGGATTCTGGGCCCAGGTCCCCCATTCCTTTCAGTCTGAATATGCCTCACTAAGGGTGAGTGCTGAGGGCCACTAGGAGGGGAGGAGAAATAGGGACAGGGGAGGGATCAAGGCATCTCCGGCTGCATGCCAAGAGTAGTGACCTGCTCTGGGAATCCACAACGCCACCTGCAGGCACTCGGCTGAGTGGCCACAGAGAGAACAGGCCAGCATCCATACCTGCATGTCCACTTACCCATGCCTCAGCACCAGGTGTACAAAACCTTTGTGATTCAGGAGTTAGAGGCAGCGCTGCCAGGGGGAGGTAGAAAAAAGGTCCTGGCCTCCTCCAGTGACAACCACTGCCTGGCCAAGCTGGGACTGAGACAAAGTCCAGGCTGGGGCGGCTCACGGGATGCAGTCCTGTGACAAGAGTGGGGTGGGGAGGAGCAGTCATAACCTTCCCTATTCCCTCATGAGAAGCAAGAGCTCAACCCTCTGTTCTGCCTCTACTGGCCATTGCAGAATGGGACCAAAGGTCCAGGAAGATTCAGTGTTCTTGATGGGGTGGGGATCCTGATGGTAGGGGCAACACTTGGCCAAGGGCTGTTTCCTCCCGATCAACATGAGGCTTGGCTATAAGCATGATATAATAATCTTGGGACAGGGGGACACAAAAGATGCCAGCCAGGATGGTCATCTAGGGCTGCAGCCCCAAAAAGCACTGGGAGAAATTTTTGCACTTGACGAGAAAGTTATAGAAGGGTGTGGTGCTTGTGATTCTGTTGGGGTGTGATCCTAGTAAGTAGTTCTGGTTGGTAGGCAGCTCTGCCGTCTTCACCAGCTTGGCACAGTTGGGCAGGAGGAGAGAAGGAAAGCATAGAGGACAGGACACAGCTGGAGGTTCTGCCTTCTGCCCCAGCAGACTTCACAGCTCAGGATTCTGGGATGGGCTCAGAGTCTACTTCTCTACCCCCTGCCCTTCTGTGTCCTTGGGCAGCAGGGTTCAGGCTGCAGGACAGGGAAGGGTGAGCAAGGGACAGGGCAGGGAAGAGAGGAGGGTAAGGGGAGGCATCTCTGGGAATGGTGACCCATCACCTTGATAGGCAAATAATCTCTTTGCTGTTCCCTCTTGGACAGTATATTAGCCACTCCCACTTGTCTTCCCCTTGTAGGCAGAGATCCGGGTGGTGGAATGCCTGAGGCAGCCACCTCAAGTCTCCCCTGCCTGAGCTCACCTTGGCTTGAGTGTCCCAGGCCATGTTGATCCACATCAAGTAGAGAACAGACAGAAACCACAAGTGCTGTGGTCCTTTTGCCTTCCCAAGATGTGGGGGTCACTCTTCCTGCCAGAGACTCTTCTGGGTGGATATCAACAGTCTGAAATGGAGACAGTTCTGACCTCAGCAGACAGAGCGAACTCTGCTGGGGCGTTCAGTCAACAAAGTAGCAAGTGGTCAAAGACCACGGCCTCGTGGCAGGTGTAAGAGAAAGATCCTTGGGAGGGCAGCCTGAAATCCTGTCCTCCTCCTTCCTCTGGCCAGGATGCTCTCCAGGGTTGCTGGGCAGGCTCAGGATCTGGTCTGCAATGAGAAGGAGGTGGAGAGGTGCCTTTAGCGATTGCCCCATCAGTAGAGAAATTAGATACTCAGAAAACTGCTGGGACCAGCTTCCTCTTCTTCCCCATACCCATAAAATCCATGCTTAGTGTCTCTGCCCCTCTTATATCTAGTGTATCCTCTCCTTCTTCACCCTGACTCATGCTTGTAGGGCTAGGCAGTGATGGTTACCATGGTAACCATAGTAGGGTGGAGTTTGCCTCCAACCCGGTCCCAGGTGGCAATCGGAATGGAGGGGAGAATTCTGGCAGGTGCCTGGGGCCGTGAAATCACCGTTGCACCAATAAGGGACACAAACCCATATCCCCCCTCCAAATAAGGGCCGAGGACCCCCATTTCGGCCTCCGTGTGAAGAGGGGTTTGCACATCTCTTCCTGGCTTTTCCATCTTCTGTGGCTCGGTCTGACTTTCTGCCGCACGGGGAGGTGAAGCCCGTGACCACAGTTCCCTGAAATAAAACTGTTTAAATTCTTATTTGGCTGATATATACTTTCCTTGGTGGTTGGCAAATCAAACAGGCAGGACCCCAAGAAGGAGGAGACCCACTGAGAGACAAGAGGGAGGGGCTGTGCACAGGGGCACCCACAGCTCTGAGCAGCCCCCCTCTTGGCCTCACCCACTGGCTCTGGTCCCACCTTCATGTCTAACATCTTTGCTGCCCTGCACAGAAGACCCACCAAGGAAGGGAGGGGTCACAGGAACCCCAGAAATGATCAGGGGCTGGAGTGAAGTCCAACCCAAGGGAAGGTCTGAACTGTGCGCATGGGGAGAGAGTTAGCAGGTAGGGGAACAGGGCTCTGGTAAAGTGGATCTTAGGATGGGATGGTGGAAGTCACCCAGGCACTCTGAAAGCCCTGTCATTCCTCTGCACCCCACATTCCTGCAGTATTGGTGGCCTGTAGCCTAAGGCATTGGGTTGAGACGAGGGTGAGAATCAAAGGGAGGGATTGAAAGCAGGTGACCTTACTCAGAGGTAGAGTCCACATTTCTAGCTCACAGACTCTCCCCAGGAGTCCATTCAAGCAAAGCAGGTGGGACAAAGTGGGGACAAGAGAGAGTCAGAAAAGGAGACTGAAAGTCAGACAGGGAGGCAGAGTGATCAAGGAAGGAAAAGAGAGCAGGGGAGCCTGGAGGTGTACACAGGGATGCCCTGGGACAATCTACCCACGATGTGGGGATGGGGACCATAGCAGGAGCAGGCGGCAGAGCAGCAGAGCGCCACAGGAAGCTGCGCGTAGGCGTCGCAGGGGAGGGGAATGGTTGAGAGCAGGACTGAGACTCATAACAGCACCGCCACAGACCCAAGGTGGTCTTGGCCCAGAGGTGGCCTCGCTGCGGAACGTCCAGTTCGGCTTGCAGTTCAGTGGGGATTCCAGTGCCCTGTAGGTGGAGCTTTGGGCAGCAGAGAAGAGTCCCAGGACTCAGGGGCAGCGACAAGGGTGGCTGAATCCCTGGCTGGTGTCATCATTGCCTGTTCCCACCAACAGCAATGCTATTCTCACATGGGGGCTGCTCCCATTGTCAGGAAATGGAGTCTGGATGTTGGGGAGGGTGCACCCTGCATTTTGCCTGGTCAGGAGTCAGGACTGTGCCAGGGCCACAGATGGTCACAGCGTGGGTCCAGGGCATGGAAGCCAGAGAAGGAGGCGTTCTAGGTCCAGGTGGGCTTAGATGTTGGACAGCCCGGTGAGGTTTATGGTCAGCAGGTGGTGCTATTGATGCATGAAAGCCCAAAGCCTTTACAACAGGAGCTGTGTAGGGAAAGCCTGCA